TCCACCAATCCCATGTGGCTACAAGCGGAAAGAACGTTTACAAAAGTAACATAATCCGGCCTTGCACCCTCCACTTGCATCTCTTCAAATAGTTCCAGTGCTTTAATCCCAAGGCCATTTTGAGAAAGGCCAGAAATCATTGCATTCCATGATGCTACATCTCTGGTAGGCATCCTCCTGAAGATGAGATTGCCATCATCAAGGCTCCCACACTTTGCATACATAGTTGAGAGAGAACTTCCTATCGGAACTTCAAGACCGAACCCAATCTTAACTACATGAGCATGCACTTGTTTTCCCTGCTCCAATGCTGAAAGGCTTTAACAGGCCTTCAACACACTGGCTATAGTCAACTCATTGGGTGCAATTCCTTCCTACTGAATCCCACTTTCATTATCTCCGTTTTGTACATAGCCTCCAATCATGGACGTCCATAATACAAGATCTGGCTCTAATTGATAGTCAAATCCCTTTCTCGCATAATTTGTGCTACCACATTTAGCATACATATCAACCAAAGCAGTCATAATATATAGTTGAGATTCGAACCCTAGTTTCACTAAATACCCATGCACCTGCTTTCCCTTGTAAATTGCATTACTGTCACTACAAGCATTGAGCACTCCAACAAGGGTGTATTCACTACGTTTCATTCCACAGAGATGCATCTCCTTAAACAATGTCAATGCCTTCTCACTCTTCCCACTTTGCGCATAACCTGTGATCATGGCAGACCATGTGATCGAATTTTTAGCAATTGAGAGCTCAAAGGCCTGAATGGCGGCATCCAAACTGTCACACTTTGCATACATGGTTAAAAAAGCTTTCCCCACACAAACAATCGACAACAATCCAGTCTTAATAGCCAAACTATGAACTTGTTTACCAATATCCACAAACTCCGGGGACACTAAAGCACTGAGAAGACTAGTCAACACCTATGTTGCTCGGACTCGGGTATGGGTATCGGGTACGGGTACGTATTTAAGTGTCGGATCTTTTATTTTTCAAAATGGAAGATACGGGGACATGGCTAAAAAGTGTCCAAATTTCGGACACGGGTACGTGGGTACGTCTTTGAAAATTCAATTAATTTCTTTTCCAAAAAATTCACATGTAAAATTAATCAAAAAT